AGACAGTCAGTCATCAATGTCTTTCAGTTAAGGGATAATCCAAATAACATAGTCCATAATCATACAAACACAAAGTTTGCTAGCAGTTGCAAAACTTACAATAGCTCACTGCACTTTCTAACAGCCAGCTTCCAAATCAGATCAGATCAGCCCAGCATCTAACAAACCCACTCTGTGGGCACACGTACCATCACCAGCTGCTCTTTTGGTTTCCAGCGTGCACATGTGTGCCGAGCACATGTGTGCCGTTTTCCAGGTCTTTGTGGGTGCCAGAGCACCGGAAAACGGCCCAAAAACAGGACATTTTGGGGTCTTTTTCAGACTGATTTCAGGGCCATTTTGGGGGTGTTTTCAGACTCTTTTGGGGGCAGTTTTCAGACAGTTTTGGGGCCAAAAAAACAGCCTGAAAACAGCCAAAAAAACAGGCATGTACATGCCAGCCAGCTGGTCTTCAGTCATGAGCATGCACACAAGTTCCAGTTTGGGCACTCAGTGCCGAAAAGGTTCGCCATCACTGCTATAGATCAAAGGATTCTACCATATTCTTCCAGCTGTTATCAAGACCAAAGGCAATTCTAACACTCATCCATTCTTGAGGTATACTTTAAATTTGTAGAAGAATTAGGTTCTCAAGAGTCACTCAGTCTTGTGGATGTTAGACATCTACAAAAGTAGACATCTATAAAAAACAAACCTTATTTACAAGGTTGCCTGAAGTGCAACTGAAGTCCTACTACTTGCCATAAACCGCAGCTAGCTGTTTTGTTTTAATTCAAAGGATCAGGCTGAAAACACCTAACCAAAAGCTACACACCCCTCTTTACTATGAATGTTTACCTCCTGGGTAAGGATGGCTGCCTAGATTACAAGTGCCTCAAAGCTTCACGTCAACATTGCTTCTCGTTTGGGAAATGTCAAAGAGAAATCTTTTGCTGTTTGGCGAAGCCTTTGTTTCTCCAAAAATAAATACAGGAAACCGGCCTAGGTGTGTCCTTGATCTTTAAGGTTGAAGATATTGTGCACAGTTTCAAAGGGCTCTGCAGCACCGTGCCTCCACCGCAGCTAGACAACAAAACACAGGAAGCTCTGGCCCAGGAGGCGAGATTCAACCTAGAGCCTGGCTCCCCATTCAGCTCCAGCAACTTCAGAGGCTCCCAACTTTTGAGTCCGAAATCAAACCTCCTTTTAAAAAAATCTTACATTTTTCCCCATATCTTTCCTTTTTTTACAGTGAGAGAAGTGACTAGCAACTATAACCATATGGCAACAGGTTTCAGGCTACGTGGTACCTCGGTACTCGTCCTTAATTAGTTCCGGGAGAGTACCGAAAATGATGGTAAAGGTTCCCCTCGCACATATGTGCTAGTCGTTCCCGACTCTAGGGGGCGGTGCTCATCTCCATTTCAAAGCCAAAGAGCCATGGCTGTCTGAAGACATCTCCGTGGTCATGTGGCTGGCATGAGTAAATGCCAAAGGAGCACGGAACATTGTTACCTTCCCATCAAAGGTGGTCCCTATTTTTTCTACTTGCATTTTTTATGTTGTTTCGAACTGCTAGGTTGACAGAAGCTGGGACAAGTAACGGGAGCTCACTCTGTTATGCGGCCCTAGGGATTCAAACTGCTGACTTGCCAACCTTCTGATCGACAAGCTCAATGTTCTAGCCACTAAACCTTAAAAATGATTAAAATAAAATGATACAAATTATTGAATGCTAAGCAAATTTGTCCCATAAGGAATAATGTAATGAGTCACAAAGCAGCCAACATTGACAACTTCTAGCTTGTGCCTTGAGTA